TATACATATAATTCTACATCATATCTTATTATTTCTAATTATTTTATGCCATTTATAGAACAAAAGGTACTTAATTTGCTATGTATTGTGTTGTAACGGTAAAAGACATGCTTGGAACGAAAAGGAAGATGGAAGCTAGGATTTTGAATGAAGATTTAAAAAACAAAAAATGAAAAATGAACTCTCCACGTTGTGGTGACTTTCCCACAACGTGGCAATTTGGAATTTTCGGATTGATTAAGGAGACTTGTTGAATACAAGATAACAACGAAGACCACGATGTGGTGGCCTGACGACGTTGTGGTGATTTGTTTTTCAGGAAACTATAAATACATGGCATTCTCCTCCGAAATTAGAACTTTTGTTGGTAGATACTATCGACTTTTGAAGGCCAAGGATGTGTTCTAAATCTTGGAAGTGAAGAAATCGAGTATAGCCTGGGAATTGGGAGCATTAAGGCAATATAACTCTAAATTATGACTTTCTACTAGGTTTGATTACGTCTAATACAATGAATTTCGTTTTTATGAGTTTGACTGCTAAAATCATCGGCTAAAACCCTATGACTTTCATTTAGTTTAGGGTTGCTTGACTCATTATGGGTTTGATTTATGGTTGGATTTAGTTTTATTGGTTATTTATTGATTTAGCTTTTGAAAGAACCTTTCGTACTTATGATAACCGCTTTCTCTATTTATTGCTGAGTTTAATTAAGTTTGTATGACCATGTTTCTTAATTGAACTTGAATCTTTTGACTCTTGTGAATTGCAAAATTGTAGGACTAGAGTTTTGAATAAAACCTAGGGTTAAATAGAAAAGTAGGTAAATAATCGTAGGAACTAATATATGATGACCAATCATATATTGAATTGAGTTAATAAAAAAATTAATCAATTCCCTATAAGTCTAAATTTACTCGAACTGGATACTAGTAAACTTGTTAATTTATCCGTCTGATCACCATATGAGTAAGCATGTTTTCTAAAGGATTAGAATTAGTGAACATTAACCTAGTCATTTTAGGAATTGGTAACCCATGAAACAATAATCCATTGCACTTCCATAAATCAACCATAATAGCTAGTAAATCCAAAGCTAAATGAAAGTCTCTTAATTACCTTGGTTTAATTCGTCTTTTGGGCTTCTTGCTTTAGTTTAATATTTGTCTTAATAGTTAATAGTTAGTTTACTTTTGTTAATTAAGTTTCTAGTCTTTCAAAACTAGAGAAGTTTTTTTCTTAAATTATTAGTAATTTAGTTAGTTGTAGATAAAACTTAGTTAAACATTATGTTCCATGTGTTTGATACTTATCTATTGAGCTTTACTATTTTCAACAAGGTACATGCCTTATGTAATAATTAGTTTGATTAGTAGGATAAACCAGTGCATAAAGGAAACATAGAGGCATCCTGGTCAAGTTCTTCTTGATATTTGTGTGTTGGATGAATATATATATATATATATATATATATATATATATATATATATATATATATATATATATTCCAACACACAAATATCAAGAAGAACTTGACCAGGATGCCTCTATGTTTCCTTAAATAATACGAGAACTATTGAACTTTAAGGTGCCTTTCAGAAACTTTCTTTTTGCGAACCGCAAAAATGTTATCCCCACATGCTATCATTTACAATAAATACAAATAATAATCAAACTTAACGCATGAAAACTATAAGATCGAAAACTCTCCAAAATTTAAGGATTATTTATAAGAAAAAAATAAAAATAAAGGCAACATACATTATGTTTGAATGTATAAGGAAGGAACATAATTGTATCTCATCCAGACACTACTCATCATCAACGTTATAAGAACAATATCATGATATTCATGAATCTTCATATAACAACCTCTCATTTTTACTAAGGGCATCTTCAACCTTATACCAAAACCCTATCTTACATTATAAATTACACTATAATACTGCAGCCATACAATACACCTAACACTATATATGGTATTAGAGAATAGTGTAAAACTGAATATAATGTTACACTATTCATCAACACCAAATATAGTGTTGAAGCTTCATTTGTACAATTTGGTCCTTTTAACTTTGAACATACATATGTTTTGTTTATTTTACACAATTATAATGTTTATGTAATAACAATATTAGATTTGTGTCAACTATAACTTTGTTTTATCTAATAAAACCTTTTACGAATGTTTTGTTCATAAATATTTGATAATGTAGTTTATTAAGCATTTTTAATAAAAGTATATTAGTTAAGTTTATAAATATTAGACGATATATATATATATATATATATATATATATATATATATATATATATATATATATATATATATATATATATATATATATATATATATATATAGTCTAATAATAAAAACCTAATAAACATAAGGTTTGTTTTTGTAAAATTATAAAAGTTGGATAAAAAAGAATATACCTAGAATATTTTTAAAATATTCTTTTTAGTGTTAAATATTATGTAATGGGTTGGAATAATTTAGTGTTTACACTATCTTTTAATTATACTTATAGTTATAGTGTAAAATAGTGTTAATGGTTAGAGACGGTCATCATTCCAAACCTTAACACCATTTTCTATGTTATACTTATAATTATAGTGTAAAAGATAGTGTATATACCAAATTCCTCCAAGCATTACACTATATTTACTGTTACATTAAAATCCAACACTATATATAATGTTACACTAAAATCCAACATTATATATATATATATATATATATATATATATATATATATATATATATATATATATATATATATATATATATATATATATATATATATATATACTGTTAGGTATAGTGTAGGGTTAGAGCATTATAATTTTATTTATAGTGTAAAAGTGAGTTTTTTAGTGTAGGGATTGAGATGCCAATAAGAATCTATTTTAGCGAACACAATTGGAGGCAAATTATTATTATTATTATTATTATTATTATTATTATTATTTCGCAGAATCATGCATTTGCATCATAAAGATGCATTTGCATCATAAAGGTAAACAACTACCCTTAACCCAAAATAACTTATCCTTCTAGTTCTTATAAAATCTAGAAGGTAAGAAACATAAGAATCAACACTAGAGCAACAAGAGAATTGTACGATAATAATAGAAAACAAGTGAATCGTTGTTGGCATATTCAATGAATGACACAAAAGTTTGAACCGACTCAAATGAGAAACGATATTTGGCTCAAGTTAAATGAGATGAACATGATAATCACCTATCACATGATTGAAAAATGATCATATGGTAAGTGTAAACCTATATTTGAAGATTTAATATAAATACCAACCTTGTCGGGAAAGGGTTGGTTACTGGAATAATGAGGATCATAAGCCTCATCATTGTTGATGGGTGGAATACTGAATTATGGATAATCTCCAACACCTTTGATGGCGTAAGAGACAAAACCACTTCTCCAAACATCTATGAGACATAATATTTGGAGTGCATAACAACAATAGAGAAGATGCAAAAAAGATTACAAATAAAAGAAATCCTAATCATTATACATGTTTTAAGGAAACTAAATGATAAGATAATTATGTACTAATATTAATTCCTACTTATGCGATATGACTATGTTTAATGTGATAAACGACGACTTGCCATATATAAGGATGTATACAGACATACAACTATATCTAGTGATTATAGTCCTAAATATGATATTGTTCTCTCTCAATCACAATTCAGACCGGAGGATTAATGGTGGACCCCTCCATTGACCCAACATCGGGAGTTATGTTCCATAACATATGACCGTGGTCCAACGATTAATCGAACAAGTACAAACGTGCTACTCAAGATCGTCCAAAATCACACTAGAGGACAAACCATACATTTTATAAATATAAACAAATCACCATCTCATTTCGTCAAGTATAAAAATACAATGATTATCTCTTCAAACCATTTCAAACATCATATTGTTGTCTTAATATATTAATCTATAGATACCTAACTAAATAAATACCAATACATACACCAAACGTATATACGTATGGATACGACTAACCTAATTGTTTGCTATACAAGTGATACAAGTTGTTGGCTCATAACCTTTCTTCTCAAGTACCAACACTAGGTAACCCCTTAAACGTATTTTGACATGATTAACAATGGTGTTGTGTTAGGGCTATCAGGTATACAACATGCCACACAGGGTGGCTACATCATCTGTTCACCATAGTAGAGGGGTAGGAGAAAGAATGAAGAAATGACGTGACATAATATAACTGAGGTTACGCTTCTCCACGTCTACAAGCTATCACATCAATACCATGTCTTTCTACGCCAAGAAGGGACGCCATCAGAAGGCTCTATATCATCACCACACTCTTGGCATTGGGTGTATACCTGATAACCTAGTCGATACATTTTGGTGCCAGCGTACATATTTGGCTAACAAAGTGTCTAACAAAATGTTTATAATAAGAATGTCATAAGTTCAATTCGAAAGCATATACTAATTCTCATTTCTAGCAAAAAAAAAAGACATTAATTTTTATAGGAAGTTGTTGGAACATAAGTAATTAATGCTAAAAATAGGAAGTTTCAACAAATTTTCTCTAGATTTGTAAAAAGAATCTTCTATTTCATGAGTCAACAAAGTCAAATATAACGTATAACATGTGAGATCATCATACATAACTTGGTTTTTTTACATCTACTTGTAAGCATATAACTGGACTGTCATCTCTGAATGTGAAACCTATGTAGCATTAACCAAAAAAAATTCATGCATGCTTACAGCATTGCCATCTATCACCGACCCTTCCACGCGTTGATAAACAAATCCTTTAATTTGCTTATAAATTCTCTTAAAACCCCTTGCAATTTTCATTACAACCAACAACCAAATCACCTGCACCCCCCATCTCTCTCTCTCTCTTTCTTTCTTTCTTTCTTTCTTTCTTTCTTTCTCTCTCTTTCTCTCTCTTTCTCTGTCTCTCTCTCTCTCTAGCAAAATGGCTTCCGGAAGCAGCTCTCCAGCAAGCGATGGTTCCAGCAAGACCTCGGAACCAGATTCTCCGATCATCAAAGTGTCTGATGACAATTATTTCCATGATGTGAAGGTAGTCATCGGATTACCTATGGTGGCTGCTGGTGGTAAAGATTTGACGGGTAAAGACGAGATGGGTAGCAAAGATGGCGATGGGGTGGTGGCGCCTGCAAATGAAGGGCAGTTGTGCATCGGGACGAACAATGACTTGTTACTCTGTGGGTATTGTACGGATCAAGGCGTACGAAGGTACATGGAGGATCGGTATAAGATTATTCCGGCGTTTCTTTCCCTCCGCTGTAACACCTTCGGTGGTTGTACAGCCCCTCATTGTGAATATGCGTTGGGGATGTCTCCGGTTCACTACTTTGCCGTTTTCGATGGCCATGGTGGTTGGCAGGTAAGTAAATAAAATTTTATTATTTTTACACACCCTGATTTTTGCTTAGTCTATTTGATAAATGATAAATGGAGTTAACTTTTTGGTTTTCCTTTAAATATTTTATATAATTTTTTTCTTGCTTGTTTTCTTTTAAAATAGTTTTTGTATAATAATTAGGAAACCAAAATATTTAACTTTTTTTATTTACAGTGAATTAAAGGGATAATCATTGTGGTTTAGATTTATATGGCCCTTTGACTTTTTTTCAATGTAACGGTTGTTTCAAATTTGTCCATATGCTCTTTAAATTCATTTATTATTTGTTGATAATTAATAATTTTAGAAAATTAAATGCGTCTCACCTCCACTCCATCTCACAAAACTCTTTGTAAACCTCATTATCCATTTCTCTTCTCTCACATCAAGAATCCTAAACAACCAGACAACCATCCTTAGCCCACTATCACCACACCACCACCAGAAACCACTCAATCGTCGCCGGAAACAACCGGATCCCTGCTGGAAACAGCCGACTCCTTTTATTCCTTCCCACCACCAGAAACCACCTCTCGTATTCTCTCTTTGGTACCATCTCTGTCTATGTCTCCGATACCACCACCACTGCCCGTCCTTCCTCCCCCCTTTCTTCTCCCCCACCTTTATCTCCCCCTCCCTTGATTAAATCCCAAACTTAAAGAACAAAAAAAAAAACATTTATCCAAACCCTTTATTCACTACCTATCGTTTTTGTATCTACACTTGGTTAAATGATAAGAAACATACAATCGAATCCCCCAAATCCCTCTTGTGGTCAAAATCGATGTTTGTTTATGTTCGCCTTCATGACATTTGAAGTGATATTTTTTTATTGATTAATAACATTGAAAAAATAAAAGAAATCATCAAATCAATAAGGTTAAAAAATTAACAATATTCTTTTTTACATCTATTAAGAACCAAATATGAAACAAAACCATACTCTAAGGAGTGTTTGAGTGAAAATAAAGAGTTAGAGAACCAAACACGCGTATTATCCAAACCACACAGACGATTTATGTAATATACTCTATTTATTATTTTCATGATAAATTATTTTTGTATATTAATCTTTTTTTATTTTTTTATTATTTAAACAACTTGTATTTTACTCTTTAAAAGTTGAAACATCCTTATATTCTAACTGGGACAAAAAGAAAGAAATCTTGTTTGTACATTTATATTTAAAATTAGAAAACTTAAATAGCCTTTTATATTTTATTCATAATTATGCTTTTATTTATATACGATTATGATATATATATATATATATATATATATATATATATATATATATATATATATATATATATATATATATATATATATATATATATATAATTTCTATGTTAATTTTGATATTTATTTTGATCTAATAAATAGAAAAATGAGTAGGAAAAAAAGATAGGATGATATTTTTAAAATCAATATACATATATAATGTATAGGTTGTCTTACATTTTTAGTACATGTTAAAATTTAGGAAATTTGATTTATTAAGGTAATTAAGTTAATTACCTTAATAAATCAATTTCCTCTTAAAATTCTATATTCCTTTATAGTTTAATTATATGATACCATATATGTCTCAAAATACTTTTACTTATATACAAATATTTAATTATTTATCAACCAAGGACATGTATGTGTACAATTTCATACCTCTTTGAAATTACTTATATGATTGATTTATGAAAATCTTAGCTTAATAGTAAGATTGATGCTATTAAAACAATTTATGTTTTAGTGTTTGCCTTATCCATTTTAAAGATACAGTCCTTAAGATCTTAGACCCATTTGAAATGATAGTCGTTGTAATCAAAACTAGTGATAACAATTATAATAAAGACCGATAGTTGTTAACAAAATTGTAACAAATAGTAGTGATGTAGTTTTTTTAATAGGCATAAGCTCTTAGAATCTGCAATGTAGGACTTTAGATAACAAGAGGGGCAATTGGATTAGTTTAAGCTGTTCCATTAGATGTGATTATAAGTGAACAATGAAATAAAACCTATTAAACAGACTAGCAGTCCACACAAATAGATTTATTTTAGATGAGTATTTCATAACTATAACAATAGGAGACTCAATTGAATTATGATTAATAGAAAACATGATGGCCATATATAGGTACTCAAGAGATTGAAACTGATATTACATGTAAAGTCTATCAAGGTCAAAACGCCATGATTATCTATAAATTTGATCAAGTCAACACTTGATCAAATCTAAACCACATGGGCAAGTAGCAATCCAACATGACCATCAATTGTAGGTCAATAATATACTTATTTAGACCTACAATAGATGATAGGAACATAGATATGAGTAACATATTACAAATAAATAACTTTACTTAATCATTTCAAGAATAATATAATTGAAATAAATCCTAAAAATCGAATAATCGTTAACACTTCCACACATCTTGATAACAATAGAAAGTTATCAGCATTTCATCAAATGAAAGATCATATTACAAAAGGTATATGATTGCATATAAAAAATATACAACTTCAATAACAATAAAAATATATTAATAGTTATTTTTAATCCATTTTTTCATTAATTTAATTATTATCGTACAATGAGTGGATGACAAACGGGCAACAAACTGCGCCGCTAAGTCTTTTTGTATGATAAAACAAATTCTTTTGAAGACTACATCCATAAATCTAGAAGATATAACATTGATATGTATGATCTGTTGTACTATATTAAGAAACTTCACCGCATCCGCACGCGAGAAAACTAAACGTATCAAATGCAAAAAGTGAGCTTTAAATATAACTTCCACCCATGATTGAAATTTTAAGTTTTATCATAAACAAATGTATAAATTTAAAATTAATCATGTAGTAGTTGTTTTTATTTACAAAAAAAAAAAAAAAAAAAAAAAAAAAAAAAAAAAAAAATCTTCATAAAAATAAATAAATTATTATACACTTTATGTCTTTATCTACTAAAAATAGAAATTTTTTGGTTTATGATTCATTGATTAAAAACTATTTACTATTAGTGCTTTAGTTTATGTGAAAATTAAATATTTTAATTAATTAGTAAAATTTTGGTTCCAAATTGAAAACTAGATAAAAATCTAATTTCACTAAATATTTCGATAAAGATATAGTTTACTAAAATTTAGATAATAACTTTTTTATATATTAAAATTTTATATTTTATATAACTGTCTTTAACTTATATAATTATATTCAATTTCAGTTTATAAAAAAAAAAGCTAATAAAAGTTTAGTACCAAATTGAAAATGCGATAAAAGTATTATTTTATTAAATATTTTGATAAAGACAGACACATAACGATAAAGAAAATAGATAATCATATGAAATTAAATCTTCAAAATTCATCCCCGAAGAACCCTAGTCCCTAAATCCATTGTTTACCGAAATAGTACTGTGTTCTTCCATAGCATCGCCTTTCAAAACTCTTTCCAGACAACTCCTTTTTGCTGGCACGTCTGAACATTAAAGAAGAAAAAAGAATACACAAATGTTGTAAAAGAAACAGTAACATTCAATTCCTTTTCGTGGTAAGATAAAATTACATATTGTTTATTCAATATACGATCTTAAATATCATAGGATAAGCTACCAATCATTATATGAATATCATATTCTTGTAATTTACTGATTTGTTTGATTTACTTGTAAACGGAGAATATTTAGGGAAGATTCAAATGAATTTATAGTTCAAGATAGGTTATGCACTGATGATCTATTTAGATTTCAAGTCCTTACTTAGGTTATTACATCTATTTTCTGTTGTGAGTTGATCTTTCCATTTACAACAATAGAGAAGAAGATACGAACATAAATGAAATGATATTTTAGTTGAATATAAAGGAAAACAAGTCAATTGCAGTGTAATCAAGTTTGCATGGATGATGGAGATGGAGATATTGTTTCTTTTATTGACATAACCGACATTAAATAGGGTAACTTTCATATGGGAAACAAGTACATTAAACATGGTGTAGATCAATCTAAATATGAGGTGCAATAACAAAGATATATCAATGTGCTAGAGTACTTATCAAATCTCAAGCAATTCAGATTTAGGAAAATAGATGAATAAATATGCTTGATCAAATATCAATCATTTACTTTGTTTATGACTTTATGTATGAATAAATCATGCTAGTAACTTACCTACCAAAATTGGTATTGTTGGTCATTAGTTAGTAGTTATTTTCTTTTTAAGGTATCATGATCTCTTTTACTTATTTCCATTAAAAACTAATCATTATTTCATTGATGATGATGATGATACAGGCGAGTGATTATTGTATGAAATCAATGCACACAGCATTGAAAGAAGCATGGGATGCTGCTGACACTACAAACGAATGGAACAAAAAGTGGGGTTCTGCATTTTTTAGGGCTTATGAAAATGTCGATAAGGCATGTGAAGATGAAACTGATGCTGGATCAACTGCATTGGTGGTGCTTCTCTCATCTTGCCAAATTGTTGCTGCGAATTGTGGTGATAGTAGGGCTATTCTTTGTCGTGGGTCCCACACCATTCCTCTCACCGAGGACCATAAGGTTTATTCAATCTCTTATCTTTTTCTCAATGTCTTTTTTTTTTTTTTTTGCTTACTTTTCTCTAATACACTTACCAATTGTTCCGTTTTCACTTGTAACAGCCTGATAGAGAAGATGAGGAGGAGAGGATTGTTAAAAGTGGGGGCCACGTATTATTAGACGAATGGGGTACTCCCAGAGTGAATGGTGTTCTTGCAATGTCAAGGGCAATAGGTTTATAAAATTTTCTCTCTTTTATAAAATTTGGTTTCCATTTTCCTTGGCACGTTACAACCAGCTTATTTTTCGAGTCTTTTTAGGTTGTCATTTTTGACAAATTAAGGTTGTGTTTGGTGTGCCATAGTTATAGCTTATTTTTCGAGATGTTTAAATTGCCATGTTTGACAAGACAAAAAGTACAAAATAAGCTAGCTTTTTAAAAAGCTAATTTTTTTTTTAAAGTTTTTCGAATATATCCTTAATTAATTATAAAAGAAACGTATTCTTCTAAGGCTATGTTTGGCACATCAAAACTAGTTTTTTTTTTTTTTTTTTTTTTTTTTTTTTTTTTTTTTTTTATTTTTATTTATTTATTTATTTTTAAATTATCATGTTTGGTAAGTCAAAAGGTAGTTGATATTTGATAAACTAGCTTTTTACGGGCTTTTTGGAAAATTTCCAAATATACCATTGACTAATTATAAAAAATATATTTTTCTAAATATCCTTTTATATCATTTTATATCTTTCAGCTAGTTTGTACCAAACGTCATTTTTGTGATACCACATAGCTTTTGGCTAGTCTGCCAAACATAGCATAAATGTCATTTTATATCTCTCAGCTAATTTTTACCAAATATCACTTTTTATGAGCTAGCTTATTAGTTGGTAGCTAGCTTTATAGTCACCATCTAGCTTTTCAGGTATCAGCTACGGGCTAGTTTTTTAGCTTCCAGCTAGCTTTTCAACCAATTTGCCTAGCTTTTTTAAATGCTGCCCAGACTAACGTTTCAACGAGCTTATTGAAGTTTTAATTTTTTTTCCAAATATATATTTTTAATTTAAAAAAAACTCAACCTTCTACATACATTTTTATGTTATTTTATATATTTCAGCTAGTTTGATCAAACACTATTTTTATCAGCTAGTAGCTTCTTTTGCATCTATCAGCTAACAACTAGCTTTTCAGTTGGTCTGTCAAACATAACCTAAATCTATAGAAATGTATGATTATGAAATGATTCTAATTATACACTTGTGGTGTTTGAAATGTTAGGAGACAAGAAGTTGAAACCAGCTGTAAGTGCGGTTCCCGACATGACTTTTACCATGAGGTCAAAAGATGACGAGTGTTTGATAATAGCTACTGATGGTTTATGGGATGTCATGTCTACAAAATCTGTTGGAAATTTTGCATGTCAACTGTTGCAACGAGAGCGCCATGTGGCAAGACTTAACAAATCTCCATCGCAATATGTTGCAGAGTGTCTTCATGCAGAAGCGCGTTTGAGATCCAGCACTGATAATTTTTGTGTGATTGTTGTTGACTTGAAGTCAACAACAATGCGCTAAATTTGATTTTATAATTATGATGATTTAGAATAACTATCTATCTATTTTGCTATGATAATAATAACAATAATAATAATAATGATAATGATGATGATGAAGTACTTTTGTAGTTGATATTTGGAAGATGATATAAAATGGTTTCAGGTAATGTTTGGTAAATATTAACATAATCTATTATTTACTACATTTATCTATATACACATATACATTTATAAATAGGGGTGAACATTTGGAGTTTTGTACTAGAACGGTTCTTGGACTGTACCGGTTTGACAAAAATTGGTGGAGTTTAGACCGGACTGATCCAGGGTTTGGTGTGATCCAGGTCCTGGTCTTAGTCTAGAAGTCTAAATGTTCACCCCTATATATAAACCATAGGGAGTAGGGGTTATAGATTATAGTTGTTGATATGGGATCATTGGAAAATGTAGTTTAAAGAAGTGTATATAATAATAATATGATGGAGAAAGAGAATCGCTACTGCTATTGTCCCCTAAAAGTTACAAAATCATATTCTGATCCCACTTCCCACCCATCCTTGATAAGTTTTTGTTCTTTAACAAAAAGCATGAGATGTGACTATACAATATGAGAGAGAGAACATCATGGGATACTAACACTTTGTTAAGACCACTTGGTGGTTGGATCTTGCTCACATAACTTACCAAGCTGGATGTTGGGAATCAGATTAGGACCTGATAATGGAAATAATGGAAATCAAGATTATACTAGTTTATATTTTATTTTTTTCTCTTAAATCTGGTTAAAAACCAAACCGTTATGAAATTACACTGAAAAATATCACATTTAAATCGGTATGGACCAGTTTCAAAATGGATTATGCACTTTTATTTACCAAACTGGCACTAGGCCAATGTAAAAAGTTACTAAGTTGTTAAAATAAAAACTCACCCGTGTATTAGGATTCATGATATTTAGGAAATGAACTTTGTTTTTTAGTTTTTTTTTTCTTCCTAAGAGTATCATAATGGCAAATCTCTAAGCTTATTGATTTTATTAAATCAACAAAAATGCTATCTCTCAAATTCCACATCGATGGATAAGTTTTTTTAAAGCTTTTCTAATATTTAAACATATAACTCACCTATCTGAAATATTTTGTAAAGCATCTTTATTTTAGTTTTCGTTTTAAGAACATATTATATTTGATATGTGTATTATTTTATTAGTTAAAAACTATAAATATACAAATATAAAAGTAAACAAATGTTATCAAAATAAGAGAATTATATGTATTGCTTTAATAATATAATAATGGGTTAGAAGAACAATAAATAGTAACAAAATAAATTATTAAATCGACTAACAAAATAAATTATCAGTTTCTTTGGTATTAAAATGGTCGTTCAAGTAATAATAAATCATTCAAAAACTCCAATGATCACTGGTGGGGGAGAACGAGGTGCTAATTACAAAGGTGCTAATAAGACACTTTTATACACACTATCATCACTTTTATAAAAAAATCAATATATAATCAACTACTTGTAATTAGCTTTTTTGGAAAACAATACAATTTCAACTAATAAAAATATTTCAAAAATTAATTAGGGTTGTCAAAATGGTAATATGGGGTGTCTTTTTAGCCAAACCCTAATTACAACCTATTAGACAATCAATATTTGATTTCAAACGTTATTATGGTGTCTTAACGGTTATGATTGGTGTCTGTTGACATCATCGGTAATGATGGGCAATTCATTTAAACCTAATGCGAGATCGACATAATAGGAATGGAATTTTGCTTTCAAGGGATACACGAGAAACGAATAGGGATGCATGATGTGTGAGAGAAAAGTTTGAAACCAATGAGAAAATATGGTAATTCGGTGGAACGCTTCTCAATTTCTTTTTACATATAATTTTCCGTCATAAATGGAAACATAAGATTCGAGAAAATTATGTTGGGAGTACGGGGTGGTCACTTGATGTCTATATTGCAAGGAAGCTATCGAAGACATGTAACAATTTTGCATTTTTTTCAAATCCTTGAAGGCTTATGACTTGGCTAAATCATCAAAGAAACTGAGATAAATTGGATTGGGTATTTTGAATTTACTCACGAGTGTTTCTAGGTTTGGCTGCAATGGAAAAAAAAGATCCCTAGGTATAGAAATAAAAGCAACAATTCAAAGAAAGGTATGATTTATTCATATATCAATCAGAAAGGTATGGTTTATACGTATATGAGGGTAAAGAGTTAACGAAAGAGGAATCCGAGGCTACTAGTTACTACGAGGCCATAACATACGAGAGTAAGATAAATGGGGATATGGAAACCGAGATGATTACCATATATCAAATATGAGATTTGGTTGATTTAACACATGACTAATAGGATGTAAACAAGTTCTCAAGAAGAAGAAATACATGGGTCAGAGCCGGCCTTGAGGATTCAAATGCCCGATATGAGGTGGAAAAAAGGGCCCTTAGGTATTAACGTGTAACGAATTAAGTTACATAAATTGATTTTTTTTAAATGACAAATTTTTTTATAGCAATAAACATAACAAAGTTATAGTATTTTAATGAGTAATTACATATCGTAACAACTAACTGGCGACTCGTAAAGCTCTCATAGCATTCTTGATAGCAAATTGATTGATCAACTCTTCGTAGTCTATACTCTATAAGATTTCGTTTTCGATAGATATCATCGCCAAACCGCTAAGTATTTCTTGGGTCATTGTAGAGCGTAAGTAAAATTTCAAAAACTTCAATTTCAAGAAACTCTTTTCTACAGATGCCACCGTTACTGGAATAGTCAACAATCTTCTATATGAAATGCATGCATTTGGAAAATAATCAAGTTTTTCAAAAACTTCAAAACATCTACTGGGTTACTAAATTCATTTGTTTTCATTGTTTCAAATATTTTCAACTCCGTATAAAGTTCCTCGACATCAATATCTGATCTTTCTTCAAATTTGAGTGATTTTTCAAGACAATCACAAGACGACTTATGATCTTTATCTTCAGTTCCCCTCAAATTATATGGAAATAAAAAACCAAATACTTTTTCATACTCTTTGAATTGTTCAAATATTGTCTCAAGAGAAGAAATAGCTTAATCAACAATGTATAAGAAATAATTGACTCTAAAATTCTCTTCAGTTGTAAATGAAACTTCTTCACTACTTGAACTATCATCAAACCTTTTTTTCCTTTGAATCAAACGTTTTTGTGGAAATATTGGATCAATACCCATTTCAATAGCAATTTGCTTAGCTTCCTCAATCGCTTTTGAAAAACCGGTTTCTTTATAATCATTGAAGTACCCAATCAACATGTTTATTTCTGAAATAACATTATTAAGATGCATATCCTTCGACTGTAACTTTTTACTCACAATATTCACATGGTTTAATACTTGATACCACATAACAAATTATAACAACAATTCAAAGTCACCAAGTTCTTTTTATGCTATTGAAATTGCTTCACTTGTAATTGCAACATCATTATCTTTTTCTCCAACTTGAAGTAAAGCTTCCCGTACATCAACAACTTGAAGTTTAATAGCCTTTACTCTCAACCCGACTTTCCCAAAGAGTTTGACACAATGATTTAAGACTCAAAGCTTGAACATTATCTTTCAAAATTTCCCACCTCTTAGTAGAATTTGCAAAGATAGTGTAAATACGTTGGATGACTCCAAAAAAGTTCTTTCCTTTAACACACTTGTCAACCATATCACATCACGTTAGATAAAGAGAATGGAAACCACAATGAGTGTAAAATGCTCTAGGATTTAGATCTAAAAATCTCATTTTCACTCCTTGTTGTTTTCCTTTCATGTTTTCTCCATTATCATAGCCTTGACCACACATATCATCAATTTCAAGACCAAGAGTCTTTAACTCCTCAAGAGTAATATCAAATAGTCCTTTTCCGGTGGTATCATCAACATTCAAAAAACCTAAAAATGACTCCTCGATGGTAACAAAATTATATGATAACTTTAAATACCTCACTATTATAGTCATCTGTTCTTGGTGACTTGAATCAGGAGTCAATCAATATTTGAGTAGTACTTTGCTTCCCTTATCTTCTTGATAAATTCTTTCTTAATTTATTGAGCTATCAAAAGTATTAGTTCATTTTGGATTGTGTTCCCAAGATAATGCACATGAATCCCTTCACTTGTGATCCGACGCATATGTTCTTTGATAACCGGGTCAAACTCTTCTAACATTTTAATGACACCCAAAAAATTTCTATTACATGTTACATACAATTAACAAATAAGAAGTGGAATTAGTAATAATACATAAAAATAAGGTATTTGGTGTAATTGGAACAAAAATATATACAATTTATAGTTACCTTGTTGATAAAACTTTTCATTTGATCCATGGAATGCTAAATTATGTTTAGCAATAAACTTCACTACTGCAATGATTCTCAAAATGACTTGTTTCCAATAATCTCTTTCTTTCTTGAATTGCTCGTATTGAACTTTATTAATTGTTTCATTCAAGCTTATTTTTTTCGCATATCAATCCACTTATTCCTATTTGTGAGATGATCCAAGGAAATTTCGTGTTCTTTTACTCGATTGGTAACTGTAGCATACACGTTTAGTTATCGTGTTTTGTAAAGAATAATATTATGAAATATTATATGAAATTTGAGTATTGAGTTCTAATAGGTAGTTTTATTAGAAATGAAGTAAAACTATGTTTAGAATCACTTGGAAGATATTAGAAGTCTTATGAGAATCCACTCAAATGTCAAATATTGAAATCTCATGAAAATATAAACTTTGAAATAAGTAAAATTTTATTATTGAAAGTTGTAAAGAATCTCGTTAGAAACATTTAAGCAAAAACCTCATCGAAATCCAAGTTATAACGAAGAAGTTATGACCAATCGAAGATCCGTGACAAAACCAACAAACACTATCTAGCGTAAAAAGTTAGTTTTCGATATACTACTTTTTAGCCTTGGTGATCTAAATGAAAGTTGTAGTATTCATT